AGGGGCGGGGGAGGGGGGGAGGTCAGGACGCACGGATGAGTGAGGAATGAGACCAAGTGCAGTCAAGGGTAGCACATTCCGATACGAGCAAGCCCCATCCCAAGACACGCCGTCGCCCCCATCCTCCCCCCTTCAGGTCGGCCGCAGGACCGACCCGCACAGGAGACTCTTGGGGCGACTCGCCCTGCCTCCCCGACGGACCCCCCCATACACTCCAGCAACCCGCCGGGGCCTGAGCCACCTACCTCCGTACAGAATGGCCTTACACACGTCCGGCTCCATCTTGCTGTCCATCATCATGATGACGATCCCTCGATCGTCCTTGCCCCGCCGGCCCGCGCGCCCGCTCATTTGGATATACTCCCCGGGCGTGACCCAGCGGAAGTCCTTCCCGTCGAACTTGGTGCACTGCGTGAACACCACCGTCTTGGCGGGCATGTTGATTCCTGGGCGAGAGCAAAGAAGGGTTAGGGGTAGGGTTCGGGTGAATGTCAGGGTCGGGATTAGATATGGGCCGACGCGGGGATATGCTTTGAGACGTCCTTGTCGGGTAGGAACCCGCGCACGACATGGGAGGACCGAGGGAGAGGAGAAGGAGAGGGAGGGAAGAGGAAGTCGCACCGATGGAGAAAGTCTCGGTCGCGAAGAGGCACTTGATCAGACCCTCCTGGAAGAGAATCTCGATGATCTCCTTGAGGATGGGCAGCAGGCCTCCGTGGTGGATCCCCACGCCCCGCTTCAGGAGGGGGAGGAGGGAGACGACCTGGGGGAGGGTCTTGTCCTCCTCGGAGAGGGAATCGATGGCGTTGGTGAAGACCTGACGGGGGGGAGTGCCCGGAAAAGAAAGGTGAGGAGGGGCGGGGAGGGGGAGGTTGAGCTGGCAAAGCCACAGTCATGTTGAAAGACTCCTCCATTCATGGAGGAGGAAGCCGCGCGAACGCGACGGGGTGCTCTACCCGGCAACATGCAGGAGAAGTGTGCAGAGAATGGGACAGGCGGCGGTGTAGACATCTCCAAAACCCCTCTCCACGCCCCCCCCGCACCTGTTCGACAAGCTCTTTTTCCCCCTCCTCGTTGAAATCCAGCTTGCTCATTTTCAAAGCATAGGCCTCGCACTCCCGCTTGGAGAAAGAGAAAATGATGACCGGGTCGTAGCTCCTCTCCATGATGAGACGCACAATCTTGCCCAGCTCGCTCTGCTGTCCTTTCCCGCCATTTTTCTTCTTCTTGCCCGACTCCTCCTCCCCTCCCTCCCCCTGCAGGACCGCCATGGCCTTCTGGAAATTATCTTCCCGGAACCGGCTCTTTTCGTCCACGACCAGATAGAGCCCTTCCCCCCCCGAGGGAAAGATGTAATGCTGGAGAGGTACCGGGCGGTAGTCCGTGTAGACTACGTGGCAAGGCTGGTGGTGAATGGTGGCGATCCAGCCTGCGAACT